GCCCAACAAGCAAACCCACTGTGGGCCTCTATCTGCTCCAGTTGCCTGCCATACTCTCCCCATCCATTATGCTCTTTCATTTTCCAATTCCACCTCAGCCGTCCGTCCCCGTCACCCGCTCCTCCCTGCTGTCCCCGTGTCCCCTCTCCTCCTCTTTTCCATCTCCCATGCAGCCTCTAGGGAGGCCGCCTGACGCCGCTCCCCCTCCTGCGTTTCCCTTGGCGGACGACAAGTCCAAAACGCCCTGCTTCTTCTTCGCCAGGGGCGCTTGCGCCAAGGGCGACCTCTGCCCCTTCCGCCACGAAACCACTCCGCCTGACGCTGCTGCGCCTGCTTCTGCCGCCGCTGCTGCTGCTGCCGTTGCTGCTAGTCCTGCGGCTGTAGAGGCCACTGCCACTGCCACTGCCATTGCTACTGCCACTGCTGCGGCTGACCGTGCTGGCAGTGATGCTGCCACTGGCTCCAGAGCTGCTGCTGGTGCTTCAGATTCTGATCCCGGCCGTGCTCCTCTTGGCTCTTCTGCTCGCGGAGTGGAAAGAGGGTCGGTGAGAGGTTTGGCGAGAGGTTCGGCGAGAGGTCCGGGTAGAGAAGTACAAGAGGAGGCAGCAGCACAAGGGGGCTGGGATGCTCAAAATTTGCAATGACAGGCGGACGGAGGGCTGGGGAGGGGGGGAGGGTAGGTGCAGAGGAAAGCGGGGTGGTTGGTGGGGGGAGAGGTGCTCGATCGACGTCGCCAGCACCAGCATTGTCCGCAGGGAGCAGGGGCCCTGCGAGGGGCTTTGCAGCTATGGCCCATGAACAGCAGCAGCAGCAGCAGCGATGGCAGGAGCAGAAACAACATCAGCAGCAGCACCAGCAGCAGCACCAGCAGCACCAGCAACATCAGCAACAGTGGCATGAGCAGCAACAGTGGCAGGAGCAGCAGCAATGGCAGGAGCATCAACAGGAGCACCACCATCACGACAACCGCCAGCAGCCTAGGCAGCAGCAAATGAGTCAGCCACCCGCCCAACCTCGTGTCCATGATCGCGCATTTAGTCACATTCCAAGTCATCCTGGTCAGGGTCCAGGTCAGCATGGGCAAGCTCCAGGTCAGCACGGGCAACCGATGAGTCAGCATGGGCAGAGGGTGCCACAGGGGCGGGGACGGGCAGTGGGGGTGCGGGCAGTGATGGAAGAAGCAGCTGCAGCCGCTGCTGCTGCAGCAGCAACACCGCTGGGGTCAGGTTCAAGGGGTTTAAGGGCCTTGACCCCGGAAACAGGGAGAAGGGAAGGTGGAAACAGAGCAATGGGGGAGGATGGTAATGACGGACTTAGAGGAAGGTTCACAGGAGGTCGGTTCTCTCAACAGCACGGGGCACATGATGGCGTGAAGCTGCCTGACCTGCCGCCATCTCCTATGCCAGGTACACTTCCTGCGGCTCTGTAACGCAGTCGTATAATCGTATTTGAAATGTTTCTTATCACCTTGAGCATCTGGTAAGCATGTGTCCACACCGCCTCCCAGGGCATGAAGTCAGTAGGGACAAGAATAGTCTTCATCTGCGGTTTCTTTCTCCATTGTTTTGTCAATTGCAGGTATGCTTACCGAGCCAGGCACTACTGGAGCAGCAGGAGCAGCAGGAGCAGCGCGAGGAGCGCGACCAGGCGTAGACAGAGTGGGTAGTGGCACGATGAGCACTCTTGCTTCTGCGCCTGGCACCATCAGCTCACTGGCGGCAGGGCCTCCTCTCAAGGGTCGCAGGCTCGTGGTGGCAGTGGGGTAATGGCGCTAACAATGGCCGGTAGAGTCGTTGCAACCACCGCTGGTGAACTTCCTCACCAGCACCCAGCACCAGCACCAGCACCAGCACCAGCACCAGCACCAGCACCAGCACCAGCACCAGCCCAGCAGCACCAGCAGCAGCAGCAGCAGCAGCACCAGCAGCAGCAGCAGCAAGGGCAGGTCCAGGCGAGGGGCGTGGGGCAGGGTTTAGTGATTCGTGCGCGAGCTGGATGGCGCATCAGCCTCCTCTCAGCGCGTTGTTCAGGCTCCTCCCCCTCCCCGCTTCCCATCTGCCACATCCTGTGCTCACACATGCACCCCATTACGCGCATCCATCCCACACACCCCCATGCGTCGCATGTCTCTCGTGCTGCTGATCTGCGCCAGCCTGTGAAGGCAAACTCGTCCGATCCTGAAGTTCCGCCAGGGAGGAGGGACCTGAAGCGGGTTCGGCCCGAGCCTGAATCCGCCCCGGAGAATGCTATTAGGGTTGTAGGTCTGGGAGCCAATAGTCCGGGAATGTAGCAGGGCGTGCGACGGTTCAGTCAGAGCAGGACGGGACCAGGCAGGGCCAGGCTGGGATAGGCCGGTTCCAAGGCAGACTTGCCGAACCTGCTAGAGGTTCGGGAGGATCAGTCTCGGCAGTTAGTGGTGGAGGATCGGCAGAAAATGGTAGATTGTCTGTGAAGAGGCGTTTGGGTGCGGCTGCTGGTGTTAGCACAGTGACTGGCACTGGCGCTGGAGCTAGTGCTGGTTCTCGTCCCGGTGCTACTGGTGCTGCTGTTGGTAGCGCTGGGGCTACTGCTGCCGCTGGTGGTGCCGTTACTGCTGTTGGTGTTCGTGGTCGTGCTGACACATTGTCTGAAGCTACTGGGGCCGGCATCAGGGAAGGGAATGGTGCTGTTCCTGGCACAGGTGTCAAGAGCCGATTGGCTGCCAGGCTGTCAGGGCCTGGGGCAAGCCGAGTGCTGGGAGAGTTGGAGGAGCAGCCTCTGGTGCCGATGCTGCTGGTGCTGGCGCTGAGTCAGATGCTGTGGGTGCTGTTCCTCGTATTGCTGTTGCTGCTGTTGTTGCTGGTGCTCCTGGGAGGGTTGGGGAAGCAGCAGGAGCAGGACGAGGGGGGGAGGAGGGTTCTATCGACCCCGTAGCCTGGCAGAGATTCTGGCGGAGAAGAGGAAAAGTCGGGGGGAAGATGTCGCATCACCAGCCGCAACAGCAGCACCATCGCTACCGCCTGGAACAACAGGCACTGCTGGTGGAACAGGAGCAGCAGCAGAGTCAGGCACTGCGATTCAAGCAAGAACCAAGGCACAGCACACCAGGGTTGTTATTGGTCGTCTACCCCCAAGAGTGCTGGAGATACAGCTCCTAAGAAGGTGTGTGATCAGCCTGCTAGTGCTGCTGGTGAACCTGATAATGCGACAGCCAGTGCGTCAGCTGGTAAGGCTCCTGGTAGGGCTGCTCTCTTCTCCGGCCCTCGGCCGCTGTCAGAGCTACTCAAGCGCAAGCGAGCGAGCAACGAGGGAGAGGCGGGGCAGACGAGTGCACTGAGAGCAGAGGGGGCTACAGTTGGGGAGCTGGCGCGGGGGAGCCGCAGGGGAGGACAGTTGGTGGTGGTGAGGTGCAGAAGGTGGGAGGAGAGGAGACAGGTGGGCAGGGTCAGGGGAAGGTGGGTAAGGCCAGGAGGCTGTTGAAGGGGCTGGGTGCGCGTGCTGAAGGAGGGTTGGTGGGAGCAGAGGTGAAAACGGCAGGCACAGGAGCATCAATGGCTGGGACTGGAGTAACAGTAGTAGGCACAGGAGCAGCAGGAAGTGGAGCGAGTGTTGTGAGTGCCATGCCGGCTGCTCCAACTCTTGTGGAGCAGCCGACAGCTGGAGCGGGAAGTGGCGGCGTGGTGAAGGCTGCTGCTGCTACTGCTGCCCATGCTACTACCCCTGCTATGGCCACTGATCCTGCCTCTGCTGCTCCTGTGGCTGTTCCAGCAAAGGAGGAGGCTGGACAAGCAGTTACAGCTAAAGCGACCAAAGATGTTGATGACGGCATTCTCCTAATTCGGAGTGGTAGCTCTCAGTCAAAGGGCGAGAGAGCAGTAGGAGAGGTGGACTTCGGAGATGAGGATCTGGTAGGTGAAGACGATGACGAGGATTATGATTTGGAGGGGAAGCTTGGCGATTTATGGTGAGATAAGTGGCCGTAAACAAGCTATAATTTCTCAAACCCCTCTCCAACTCCACGCACTGTGTGAGATTATAATCATTGATAGGGTTGTACGGCAGGGCCTATCTTTGGTCTTTACTACTCTGATTTTCACGAGTGACTCCTCGAACTCTGATTTGTCAGGGTTTTTTACACATTTTCGAATAAAAACTTTGACACTGTACCGGATGCTGCATGATATACGCCCCTCCGTTGATTCGCACCACATCGTGTTTATCCGGGTAACCTCTACTCAATCTACAAGTTTAACGAGAATTTTTGCCGGAATCTGACATGTGCAGTCAAGTTTCGGTTGGAAACTGGGATCCGTCGGGTTCTCTGAAAAGAATCAGGGCACATTCCACGCTTGGGACAAGCCCCAAGGCATAACTTCGGGGCATTAGTCGTACGGGGGAGTCTGCTCCAGCCCCAAAGTTTATTCATCCTATCCGTATAACTGATGCCCTCAAGTTCTGCCTCAGGCTTGCCCCGAGAACGGAACGCGCCCCCATAACAGACTCTGTTCCGCAGTGCCTCTCGGTCAGCAGCGCAGCTTGCGCTGGCAGGCATTTCGGGTGGGATACAACAAACAGCCAATCTTGGCTGACCTGGCAGAATCTTCCATCATAAAGTCACCAGTCCTAACCATTGGGACAAGAATGGATCTCATTAGGAGGGTTAGGCTTCATATATCCACCTTCCCCCAGGAACGCCTCCCCAGTACCCTTCCTGGAGATAGAAAGAGGATCGACAGGGTTATCCCAGTACCACGACATCTTCTACAGCTGACGTCGCTGGATCTGTTTGATTTTTTCTGCAAATGAAGAGAGCAAAGTGTCAGAAATAAGCTAGGTGGGTAGATGAGCCATTGAATGGCGAGCGGTTTTAGGAATGAGAAAAGTTACGAGAGAAGAGGTGTTGGACTAGAAGAGAAGGAGATACAAGAAAGGGGTAGTTATCAGAAATGAATAATTGAATGATAGATAGAGTGAGAGTATACAAAGATATACCTAAGTGTTGTACTCTCTAAGAGGCGACCCTATACAGTCTATACAAACATGACAAATACACATGTTTGACACACCCCCTAGACTGCATAGGGGAATGCCCTAAACAAACAGATCAGGGCGGCACTACTAGTCCAACCTCTGAGACAAGGGTCTAAGAGACCAGTCAGAAGGAGTACAAACAAGGCAAGAACAAGGGCTGGGTGGCACTACTAGTCCAGCCACTGCGAGAGGACACAAGTCCAGTCTGAGTATACGTATAAAGGACAGTACAAAGTCAAGGTCCTAGCAAGTGAGAGGCTACAGGAACTAGACCAAGCTGTACACAGTGCCGCTGATGATCTTTAGGCGCAAGCGCCTTCGTAAAGATATCAGCCGTGTTGGCACCCGAGGCCAAGTGTACTACGCGAGCCTGACGTCGCTGCTGTAGCTCACGCAGGAGGAAGTACCGCAGCTGAATGTGCTTCGCTCTGCCCTCAAGTCGAGGCTCCTGACACAGGAGGATCATGGCCCTGTTGTCAGCGAACAGGACCGGGGCAGAGCTAGGCCGCTCACCTAAGTCAGTGAGCAAGAAGGTCAGCCAGCGAAGCTCCTGTGCCGCCATGGCACCAGCGTAGATCTCGGCCTGACAGCTGGACTGTACTACAGACGAGGAGCGGGTAGCTCTCCACGAGACGGCAGCTGAGCCAAGGCTGAAGCAGTAGCCCTGGGTAGACCTGAGCGTCTCAGCGTCGTCTGCCCACGAAGCGTCGGTGTGTCCAGTAAGGACCACTGGCCTGCGTCCTCCTAGCACTAACCCCATGCCCGATGTACTAGCAAGATAACGCAGAACCCTCTTAGCGGCAGACCAGTGCTGCGGTCGGTGTCTGCCTGTGGCCACAAAGCGAGCCAGGATGCTGAGAGGGTATGCGAGATCTGGGCGAGTGCAAGTCATCAGGTACATGAGGCAACCCACCAGCTCTGCGTAGGGGCCGCTGGGCTCTACCAACTCCTCAGGTACTGGAGCGGAGAGTCTGTGGTCTACAGGCAGAGGGGTGGGCTGTGCAGAGGAGAACTGAAGGCTGAACCTCTGAAGGACCTGGCGCACCAAGTGTGACTGAGTCAGGGTGATGGTGCGCGCAGCTCTGTCCCTGGAGATCTGCAAGCCAAGGTAACGGCGCAGTTCTCCAAGGTCAGTGCACGTGTGTCTCTTCAGAAGCTCTGCCTTCACGGAGGCCAGTGCGTCCCTGTCTGCTGTGGCAAAGACCAGGTCGTCGACGTAAACAAGGATGTAGAACAGAGTCTGGCCAGCACGAACGAAGAGTGAAGGGTCTGCGGAAGACGGAAAGAACTGCAGGTCAGCAAGGGTAGCACGAAGAGTATCGTGCCACTCACGAGGAGCCTGGCGCAGGCCGTAGACGGCGACGGGGCCGGGCGGGTGCGACGGCGCCGGGCGGGCGCGACGGGGCCGGGCGGCTGCGACGGGGTCGGGCAGGGGCGACGGGACCGGGGGGGGGTACGACGCGGCCCAGGAGGGGCGCTACGGGGCCCAGGAGGGGCACGACGGGGGCCCAGGAGAGGCGCTACAGGGGCCCAGGAGGGGCGCAACGGGGCCTAGGAGGGGCGCGACGAGGCCCAGGAGGGGCGCTAAGGGGCCTAGGAGGGGCGCGACGGGGCCTGGGAGGGGCGCGACGGGGCCCAGGAGGGGCGCTACAGGGCCGAGGGAGGGCGCGACGGGGCCCAGGAGGGGCGCTACGGGGCCCAGGAGGGGCGCGACGGGGCCTAGTAGGGGCGCTACGGAGCCTGGGAGGGGCGCGACGGGGCCTGGGAGGAGCGCGACGAGGCCCAGGAGGGGCGCTACGGGGCCCAGGAGGGGCGCTACGGGGCCTGGGAGGAGCGCGACGGGGCCCACGAGGGGCGCTAGGGGGCCTTGGAGGGGCGCGACGGGGCCTGGGAGGGGCGCGACGGGGCCTGGGAGGGGCGCTACGGGGCCCAGGAGGGGCGCGACGGGGCCCAGTAGGGGCGCTACGAAGCCTGGGAGGGGCGCGAGGGGGCCTGGGAGGAGCGCGACGAGGCCCAGGAGGGGCGCTACGGGGCCCAGGAGGGGCGCTACGGGGCCTGGGAGGAGCGCGACGGGGCCCAGGAGGGGCGCTAGGGGGCCTGGGAGGGGCGCGACGGGGCCTGGGAGGGGCGCGACGGGGCCTGGGAGGGGCGCTACGGGGCCCAGGAGGGGCGCTACGAAGCCCAGGAGGGGCGCCAGGGGCCTGGGAGGGGCGCGACAGGGCTAGGGGGGGTCGCGACTGGGCTAGGGGCTAGAGGGGTGAGCGGAAGCGATAGGTGGGGGGGGATTCTACCTACGCGTGATACCATATCAGAAATGAATACTTGAATGATAGATAGAGTGAGAGTACACAAAGATATACCTAAGTGTTGTACTCTCTAAGAGGCGACCCTATACAGTCTATACAAACATGACAAATACACATGTTTGACAGTAGTCCCTCTACAGTAGGATTCAGTAAGTAGCACAACCAAGCCTACAATTATATATATATATATATATATGTTATAATTTAAAACACCCCCTAGGCTTGGTAGTCGCAAGCCCACCCCACATGCAACAACTCTAAGCCTAGCACCCCCATACCCTACAGCAAAGGTGACTGCAGGGAAGGAAGGCGATAGGCATCCTTGAGCTGTGGTGGGGCGGAGCCAGCTGGCATGGCGAGCTGGGACCGACGCTGCGAGCTGGGACCGACGCGGCGAGCTGGGATCGACGCGGCGAGCTGGGTCTAGAGCGGAGAGCTGCGACCGACGCGGCGAGCTGGGTCCGACGCAGCAAGCTGGGTCTGACGCGGCGAGCTGGGTCTAACGCGGCGAGCTGGGTCTGACGCGGCGAGCTGGGTCTGACGTGGCGAGCTGGGTCTAACGCGCCGAGCTAGGGAGGCGCGGCGAGCAGGAGTAAGGGCTTGCTGCCTAGCGCCTAAATCAGTGCGCGGCCCACTGCCACCCGTGCACTGACGCGACGACGGTGGCACGACGAAGCCGCCACGATGTGGTGTCGAAGCCACCACAGCACGTCGAGGCAGCCACGGCAGCACGACGAAGCCGCCATGGCAGCACGGCATGGCCGCCACGGCGGCATGGAAGTAACAAAAGGGGAAGGAGTACGTGGTAGAAGCGTGATGAGCATGCCCGAGCAGACGGACCTGCTTTGAAACCATGTCAGAAATAAGCTAGGTGGGTAGAGGAGCCATTTAATGGCGAGTGGTTTTAGGAAGGAGAAAAGTTACGAGAGAGAAGAGGTGTTGGACTAGAAGAGAAGGAGATACAAGAAAGGGGATAGTCCCCTCTACATTAGGATTCAGTAAGTAGCACAACCAAGCATACAATTATATATATAATATATATAATTTAACACAACGTACACGCCAGTGATAGGCTGGCGCAAGTGCTCTACAACAGACCTTCGCTGTATGTTGACAGCAGTGGTGGTGTTTGCGCCACCTGGAGTTTACAACACACGAGGGTACTCGCGTGACTAACGGAACGGGCTGGTCAAGTAGCAGTGATCACAGTTGGGTTGGGTTGGGTTGGGTGTGGGAGGGAGGAATGTGTCTGGGTTGCGAGGGTTGAGAGGGATGTGACTGGTTGCAGAGGACATCGCCAAAATTATATAGGTTGGGAGGGGTATGGGAGGGGTGTGACTGGTAGTGGAGGATATCAACTTATACATACATTTGCATATAGAAGTTATAGGCTAGAATAAGTGTGTGTTCTTAGAGAGTACAAACCAAACCCTATATCTCCCTTGTTCCCTCTTCCTTCTAATCATTGCATTATTCTAACAGAGGACTTCGCCAAAATATTCCAGGTTGCTGGGGGTATGAGATGGGTGTGAATGAATGAGTGGTTAAGGAGGACTTGGCCGAATTTATATAGGTTGCGGGGCGTATCAGAGGGGTGTGTGTGGGTGAGTGACTGGTTGCAGAGGACTTAGCCAAAATTATCCAGGTTGCGGTTGCCATGAGAGGCGTGTGTGTTCAAGTGAACGAATGTCTAGAACAAGGCATACAAAAGAATATAACCTAATGAGTTGTACTCCCTAAGGCACAACCTTATAAAGTTTACAGAAACATATAATCTATGTTTGACACACCCCCTAGACTGGATAGGGGCAGTGCCTGATGAGAGAGAAATAGCTAAGGGGGGCACTACTAGTCCAACCACTGGGAAGAGGCCACAAGGCTAGTCAAGGTAATATATATAAAGGTCTGTACACAATCAATATCCTAGCAAGTGAGAGGCTACAGGAATGAGACCTAGCTGTACACAGTGCCGCTAATGATCTTTAGGCGCAAGCGTCTTAGTAAAGATATCAGCTGTGTTGGCACCTGAGGCCAAGTGTACTACACGAGCCTGGCGACGCTGCCGCAGCTCGCGCAGGAGGAAGTACCGCAGCTGGATGTGCTTCGCTCTGCCCTCAAGTCGTGGCTCCTGACACAGGAGGATCATGGCCCTGTTGTCAGCGTACAGAACCGGGGCAGAGCTAGGCCACTCATCCAAGTCGTCTGCCCAAGAAGCGTCTGTGTGCCCGGTAAGGACCACCAGTCTCCGTCCTCCTAGCACTAGCCTCATGCCCGATGTACTTGTTAGATAACGCAAAACCTCCTTAGCTGCCGACTAGTGCTGTGGTCTGTGTCTGCCTGGGGCCACAAAGCGAGCCAGGATGCTGAGAGGGTATGCGAGATCTGGACGAGTGCAAGTCATCAGGTACATGAGACAACCCACCAGCTCTGCGTAGGGACCACTAGGCTCTACAGCCTCCTCAGGGACTGTGGCAGAGCGTCTGTGGTCTACTGATAGAGGGGTGGGCTGTGCGGAAGAGAAATGAAGGCTGAACCTATGAAGGACCTAGCGCAATAAGTGTGACTGTATGAGAGTGATGGTGTGCGCTGCTCTGTCCCTGGAGATCTGCAAGCCAAGGTAGTCGCGCAGCTCTCCTAGGTCAGTGCAGGTGTGTCTCCTCAGCAGCTTGGCCTTTACGACGGCCAGTGGGTCTCTGTCTGCAGTAGCAAGGCCAGATCGTCTACGTAGACAAGGATGTAGAACGAAGTTTGGCCGGAACGGACAAAGAGCGAGGGGCCTGCAGACGAAGGAAAGAACTACAAGTCAGCAAGTGTAGCACGCAGCGTGTCGTGCCACTCACAGGGCGCCTGTCGCAAACCGTAGACGGGGCGCTGGAGGAGCCACTTGGTGCCAGGGGGGAAGGTACCGGAGAAGCCCTGGGGGCGGCGTAGGTAGACCTGCTCATGTAGACTGCCCTTGAGGAAAGGTGTGGAGAAGTCGAGGGAGTGCAGCTCATAGTCACGCTATGCTGCTACGTGTAGCAGCGCCCGACGAGTGGTCATCTTCGGGGCGAAGGTCTGAAAGAAGTCCACCCCCTCACGCTGACTGAAGCCTCGAGCGACGTAGCGCGCGTGATAGCATGTTAAACTAAGGTAATATAACATAATACAATGGAATATAACCTAATGAGTTGTACTCACTAAGGCACAACCCTATGTAGTCTACAGAAACATACAATATATGTTTGACAGGGTGACTGGTAGCCGGAGGACATAGCCGAATACAGGGAGTACAGGAAGAAATCTAGGGTATACCCCTTATTGAAAATCCATCAGAGTGGTATATGGACCAACTCTGATAAATCAGAGAACATCTTTACTTAAAAAAAAAAATAAAAAAAAATCCCCAGGACCATCAGAGTGATTTTCAAAAACGACTTTGATTCTCAGAGAATCAGAGTGATTTACAGTATCTTGACTAAGATAAATACCTTGACAGATGTTAAGGCTAGGTTTCTTTTATAATTTGCGGGAATGCTTATACGGGAGCATCCAAGGTCGGAGTGGGTGCGTGGGGTCGAAGCAATCTGCGTGGATTTTCCCTGGACACGTCAACTTCTGGGTCAATGTGACGCATTACGAGGCGCATCCACGTCAGATTATCCTCGTTGGGATTTCGCCTCCGAAACTGTGATGATGTCATGTTGCCCCTCTTCTGCAAGCAAGCCACAGCTCAATTTGCACACCGTGTGTGCAAATGACGGCGGGCGATAGAAAATATGTTCGTCCAGTATTATGTAACCATCTTTTTAGGCACGATAGCTGTTTCGAAGCGATTCGCGAAGCCGTACGTCATCTTTTTTGCCGAGCGTCTCACCAAAGCTGGAGATGAACACTGGGATGTTGACGCGTGGTGGCGATGATAGGGGCTGACCCTTTCCAACCGTCCGCAAGCCCTCTCGCCCTTTTTGCACCGCCTTACTGCATTTGCCGAGCCTGGTCCCGCTTGAGAAAGCACGATGAGAAGCAGATGATGCGCTCCCCCCGATGAGTGCAAGATTTTCCATCGCTCTCGCGGCAAAATCGAGGCGAGCTGATGTTTTCTGAGTTGGCCTGGCGTTCATTTCCTGGACCAAGTAACTGCTGGAAACCTCGGGATCTTCTGATGAGAGAACCTCAGGGGTTCAGGAGTAAGCCCCAGCAGAAGACAAGGCAGGCAGGCAGCCAGCCATCAAATCCGCTGATGTGCTTTCAGCGAAGGGAGGGAAGATCCACGGTCAGGCTATTTCGCAGCAGCGACTGAAGCAGGCTCCTTTTCCGCTAAGTGCTGTTGATGTTTGGAGGGATTTCCAAAGCCGACATCTTCGGTCGAGTGGTCGAGTGATGTCGTCGTCTTTGTGAATCAAGCTCGCTTGTCCGTCGACGAGGGTAGTAGCTCACACGCTCACACCCATGGCTCCGATGCTCCAACACTCAAAACACTTTCACGACCTGGCTGCTCCCTCGTCCACCTTCCTGCCGTACTGGCTTCAAGATCGCTTCAGAGGCTTCTCGAGTTGCCACGAATCGTTCTAGCGACTGTCGATAGTGAAAAATGAAGCGATAGTGAAAGAGGCAGCGATTCTGACAGATAGACTCCCGAATAAGCTACAGTCACGGCTCAGCAAACCTTCATGACTAGGCATGGCTATATCGCCACCCGGTGTCACGGGCTTGGCGCCGAGAGTCTTGCTTAGAGCATCCACTGGTACGACGTTAAGTGCTAGTGCTGAGAGCGGCTTCTCGCTAAGCGTCACTAGGGAAGCTTCCGTAGGAGAGATCAGTTTCTCGTCGCCGGATGACTGTAGGGTTGCTCCGCAGATTTCAGCTACTGCGACCATCGATCGTTCCTGGGACACCGTGTTAGACGCTGAGCTGAACGGGTTGCTGCGAAGAAAACACCTTACTGCGTGTAATGCTTCTGGCTGCGACGGCGACATGGAGGTCTCAGATCGCGCGCCGAAATTCGCGAAGGAAAGTGACGATGATGTTTCGCACAAGGCTTGTGCGGAATCTACAGACGAGGTTGGAGCTAGTGAGAGTTGGAGTCCCTCTGGAGAGTCTGACGGCGAGGAAGGAGCAGGAGCAGAGGCAGCGCCGAGCCGTGGTGCCGTCGAGGCTTCAGGTGATGGGAGGCAGCATGAGGAGGAGCTTCGTGTGCCGGATTCAGTCGATACCGCTGCTGAGTCTCTGACCGTGGCAGAGAAAGCAGCGAACGCAGATGAAGCAGAGGAAAGAGAGGAAGCAGCGGAAGAAGAGGAAGCAGAGGAAGAAGAGGATGCAGAGGATGCCGGAACAGAGACTCAGGCCGTGCAATTCGAGCTTGCTTTCAAGAAGATGTCACTTGACCCCAACGCAGCTGAGTTCACCCCATCCTTTGCGCCTTGCCCATCAGCAGCAGCTGCGACGTCAGCACCATCAGACCACACGCCTGACGCCTCTGCTGCTTCTGCTGGTGTCTCCGCTGCTGGCTCTTCCGCCAAGGTTTATGCTCCGCCCCCTTCGTTTGCCGCTGATGCACCAAGTTGCCCCCTCCTCTCCATCGGCACAATTCCTGCCGCCAATCCCAACAGTCCGTTCCCTGCGATTTCTCAGGTTGTTCCTATAGGACCGCGGGGGTCCTCTCCCGTGCCTCCACGTGGCAGCAGCCGATGGGAGAACGCTTGGAGTGGACGCGGGGAGAGAAACTCCCGTGGAAGGCAGAGTGGGGGCAAGAGTGGGGGGCAGAGTGGTGGCAGCAGGAGCAGCAGCTCTGGCAGCAGCAGCAAGCATGGGAGCGTGGAGGATGTTAAAGCTTTTCCCATGAATGCATTAGGCGCTTATCATGACTCGCGTTTGTCTGGTACCGATCGTTCTGCTGCTGTTTCGCCTGGTGCTGCTGCTGTTGTCACTGAATTCGCGGCTGCCTTTCAGCACTCCTTTCAGCACCCTTTTCCTGCTGCTGCACCATACCAGGTGGCTGCGATGTACAGCGCTCCTTACAGTCTCGCTATACAGTATCAACCCTCACCTTTTCAGCAGCAGCAGCAGCAGCAGCAGCTTCAGATGCAGCAGCAGCAGCTTCGGATGCAGCAGCAGCAGCCGCAGGGAGTTGCTCCTACTGAATACTTCCAGCAGTCACAAGAGCCAGTACAGTCACAGCCAGCACCGATATACTCACATCCGTTTGTGCATACTAATCCCTACTTACATGTACAGCCACAGGCACCTACACTCGCACACATGGAGCCATATCACGGCTTCAGGGCTCCTTATATGGGGTATGGAATGGGGGAGGATCTGGTGCCTCCTCCCCCTCCCACGCCCCCCACTCCCATGGCTACAGCAGATGACAGGGTCTCTCGAGTGGTCATGCTCTCTCTGTTGCCATCACCTGAGCAACTACCTGACTCCGTTCTGGCGCAAGAGATAGAGAAGACATGGGGCCCTCTGAGGTGAGCCGGAAGAGCTGATTTGAAGAAATGTGACTGCACACTCACCCTCAGCCACCAAGCTTCGGCTGGACTCCCATTCCCCTGGATTCCGGGTCCATTCTTACCGCAGAGCCAGTTGCCATGTGAAGCTAGTCAACCTGCAATGTGTTGGGATGATTCTGTCTCCTTCCCTGTCTCTCTCCTCCCTCTTCTTCCAGGTACCTCGACCTATCCCGTCGCAGGGACGGCATCGCCACAGCACACTTCTTCGACCTGCGCCACGCCAAGGCGGCGCTGCGGGACGTGCAGCAGCAGCACGTGCTGCAGCAGCAGCGCACGCACCACCGCATCCTCCTGCGCCTGCGCCAGATGCAGGAAAATCTCTCCCACCGCCGCCCCCTCCTGGAGAACGTCGTTCAAGACCCCTACCGCCCGCTGCCAAATGAGCCTGTGCCGCTGAATGGGCTGGGGATGGTGGGCGGGTGGGTGGTGTGGGCGCAAGCTGTTGACCCTGATGGGTGTGGGTGGGAGGGGGAGGTGAAGGGGGGTAGGGGTGGGAGGGAGTTTGGGGGAGGAGGTGGAGAGAGCTGCAGTGCGGTGCAGCAGCGTCACCAGCGACAGAAGTCGCAGTGGCGACCGCAGCAGCAGCAGCAGCTCCAGCACAAGCATGAAGTGCCATGGCAGGAGCGCGGAGGGCAATGGCATGTGAACCATGGGTGCCTGGTGGTGTTCAACGTTGAGCCGTCTGTCTCCATGGACTCGCTGCGAGCACTCTTTGAGACATGCGGTACGTGCGTCATGTGCTGAGTGTGTCATTTGTGTGGTTTGTGCGGTATGCATGTTCGAGGGCCCTCAAAGAGAGATCCATGGGTGCCTGGTGGTGTTTAGCGTTGACCCATCTGTCTCCATGTACTCGCTGCAAGCTCTCTTTGAAACATGCGGTATGTGCTTGGGCGCTCTGACGTTGCATGTCGCTTGTGAGAAGTCATGTCATGCTTTTGCGCTGCGAATAACTTTTGAGTCGACTCAAAAGTCATCTCATGCTTCCTGTGCTGCGAATCTGCTTGAACCGGTTGCTTGACTTCTTTGAGCCTCCTCCTTATCAATTTTCCCGTTCTTTCACGTTGCTATGACTTCTCCCGTCCCCCTTCTTCACGACGTTACTTTTTTCCCATTTGCTTTCTTGTTCTCCGTGTTTAATCCCTCCGTGTTGAATCCCTCCGTGTTTAATGCGCCCTCCCCTTTCTGCTTGCCCTTTATTTCCTCTGGGTCACAGGAGACGTCAAGGAGGTCAGGGCTGCTCCTTCCAAGAAGCTTCACCGCTTTGTGGAGTTTTTTGACATGCGGGCAGCGGCCCATGCGCTGCAGAAGCTGACCGGGACAGAGCTGGCGGGCAGGCGGATAAAAGTCGAGTTTGCACGGCACGGAGTCATGACTGGGTCAGCAGCAGCAGCCGCAGCAGCAGAAGGAGGATCAGGAGGAGTGGACGCATGGCAGGGGCGCCTACGGAAGGAATGGTCCGCGTATGGGAAACGAGGGGGCACATCCAGTGCTCGCACTCACAGCGGGAGTGGCAGCAGGGGCGGCAGCAGGGGCAGCAGCAGCTCATCCAGTCAGGCGTCTTTGACCTCCCCTTCTCAGAAGCCTGCGTCGCCCTCCCATGCATCCACTGTGACCAGCTGCTCCTCGCACTCGCCCTCTCAATCGCCCTCTAAATCGCCCACACGTGATTCACCGTCGTTCAAAGACGAGTCAGTCTTGGCGTCGCGTGAGTCAGCCTCGCCCACACGTGAGTCGGAGGCACAAGAGGGAGCCTCTTCAGACCGGGGCCGCACGGAGGGGGCGGCAGAAGGGTTGCTTTGCGAGGCGCCCCAGAAACTGTCTCAGGTCTCGAGAGTTCCAGGGCTCGAGAGCTCTGGTGATCGGGGCGACACCGACGCACAAGGATTGCTGCTTTCCGGGGCAGCTCACCGCCTGGGCGGCGCAAGAAAGGACGAATTGAGTGAGCCGGCAGCTAAAACTTCCATATCGTCCATAGAGGAGGGGTCTGCAGCTGAAGTCGAGCGAGTGCCTGAGGAATCACCTGAGGAATCACCTGAGGAATCACCTGAGGAATCACCTGAGGAATCACCTGAGGAATCATCTGAGGAATCACCTGAGGAATCACCTGAGGAATCACCTGAGGAGCCATCTGAGGAGCCATCTGAGGAGCCATCTGAGGAGGTACCTGAGAAAACATCTGCAGACTTATCTGCCACCTCCTTAGGGGACAGAACTGCAGAAACTGAATCAGCGGCCGATCCGCACTCAGCAGCAGCGGCTGTTGCAGCGTGCCCCAGCACGGCAGTGAATAGCAACCCCAGCAGCAGTACTCCAGTCGGCAGCACACCCATTAGCAGCACTACTGTTAGCAGCACACCTGTTAGCAGCACTCCCGTTAGCAGCACACCTGTTAGCAGCACTCCCGTTAGCAGCACACCTGTTAGCAGCACTCCCGTTAGCAGCACACCGGTTAGCAGCACTCCCGTTAGCACCACACCTGTTAGCAGCACACCTGTTAGCAGCGCAGCAGCGAGCACCCAGAGCTCGCCAGACACGTGGAGGTCAGACATGAGCGCTCAGAGCACCACCAGCAGCGGCAGCCGCATTGGCAGCAGCAGCAGCGGCACCAGCAGCTTTCCCACTGGTTGGCGCTTGCAGGCCTCACCTGTGACCCCTCTGCCGCATGCTCCCATTCTCCCTCCACCGGATCCTGCACACTCGCACTCGCACAGGCATGGGCACGGGGACGGGCATGGGCATGGCAGTGATGGCAGAGAGAGCGCAGTTGGCAACGGCTACAGCTATTCCCACCACCCACAAGCGCACTTCTCCCCTGCCGCGCCTGCAGCCACGCCCCCCTGGTTCCACCCTCCGTTCCCCACCGGGCATACCTTCTTCCCACCGCCCTTCCTCCAACCACTCCAGCCATTGCACCACCCTGGACACCCACACGCCTCTGAGGCCCCACGCATCGCCGCTGCTCCTCCCAACCCGAGCCCGAGCCCACCTGGCACGCATGCCTTTATCCCGGGTAGCCAGCCCAGGGGCGGTCAGTATGGGGGGCAGCATCACATGCGTGGGACCCACGAGGGGCAACAGCAGCAGCAGCAGCAGCGCTACCACCACCTCCACCACCATCATCCCATGCCCTACGACGCCCATCACGCCCCTGTGCCTGTGTTTCAGCAGCATTCCCTTGCTGCGCTCTCTCAAGCCCAATCTCCCCTTGTGCCTCACGGCGCGCCCTCCTCCAAGCCACAGCTCCAAGTCCAAGGCCCAGCCCCTGCTGTGTACCCCCCGGGCTTCTCAGGGATGCCGTACCCTTCACCTGGCAGCCTTTACCCCTCGCCTCATCCCACCTCCTTCCCCTTCCCCTCTGCTGCACCGCTGCTGTTCGCTTCAGGGCAGCCTCACGCGTCTGCCCATGACTCTGGCGTGCCCCCTCCTCCTTATGGTCATCCTCCACCAGCTGCAGTGCCTTCTGGCCAGTCTCCTCTCCCCTCATTCCCCCCCTCTCTCTCGGCCTCTCCTCTCTTCCCGGGCACACCCACTGCACCCGAGTCGCCTGCTTATGCTGCTTCCCCTGCTGCTGCCCCTGCCGCCCCTGCTGGGTTTCCCATGTACGCCTCTGCTGCACCAGCAACAGTGGGTGTGGGGTATCCTCCAATAGGAATCGCCGGAGCGGCAACGGGTTTGTTTCCTCCTGCCCGTCCCGGGCAGATGCTGATGAACTGGCAGGGGGCTATGGGACATGGCGGCGTGGGAGGGGGCGGAGTGGGAGAAAGGGGGGCCATGGGCGGAATGGGGATGGAAGCGGCAACAGGGGGGGGGAAAGCGATGGGAGTGGACAGCAGGCGGGGTGGGATGGAGAGATGGGGCGGTGGTGCAGTCATGGGTGGTAATCTGCAGTACCGACATGCCCATGGGCATGGGCATGGGCATGGGCATGTGTATGGCCATATCCACGTGCATGGTCATGCCCACAGGCATGGAGACTGGCAGCATGCCATGGGGGGCGATGAAGATGACATGGCAGAGGTGAGTTGATGGGGAATATGGGAGTAGCAATATCCAGTCTCCTTGCTTTGCCAGTGTCTGTTCCGTCGAAATCTCTCCCTCCCCCAACCCCCTCCACCTCTCTCTCGCCTTCCTCTCCCCCCCTTTCACCCCTTCTCCCCAGTTCGCGTTTGTGGAGGAGGCGGCAGCAACAGTGGCCAGGAGGGAGGCAGCCCAGCTGGCTGCCACATCAGCGGAGAGGACACGTCAGCATGGAAGGACAGCTGGTGCTTCTGCAGCAGCAGCAGCAGCAGCAGCAGCAGCAGCAGCAGGAGGGGAGAGTGCAGGTACGGGGAAGGCAGAGGGAGGGGCGGAGGTGCATCACACCCTGACATGCTTGACGGATCGAGCGCTGACAGACTCCACTCACTCGAAAAGCACAGGCCCTGCTGGTGTGGGCACGCTTAGGGTGGTGCCTCCCTCGAGTGTCAGCCTGGAGGAGAGCGAAGGGGAAGCGAAGGGAGAAGGCGAGCAGGACAGGCGAGTGGGGGTCGCTTTCCAGCAGGAGAAGCAGCAGAGTACGGCTCAGGTGGAATCTCAGGAGGATGGTCAGATGCTGGGTCAGGTGGCGGGGGTGGCATCGGGGCGGCGGGACGGCACACGGACAACAGTGATGGTGCGCAACATCCCGAACCGCTACAACCAGGCCATGCTGCTGGCGCTGCTGGACGCGCACTGCCTGCGTTGCAACTCCCAGTCGCAGCGCCGCACAGGGCGGGCCAGGAGTGGCAGTCATGTTGATGGTTCTGCTGCTGCTGCTGCTGCTGCCGGTGGTGGCACTGATGGAAATGGTAGTGATGGTGGGGGCCTAGATGGCAGTGATTCTGGCAGTGACAGCAGCAGCAGCAGCGGTGGTGGTGGTGGCGTGGCAGAGCAGTGCTGTGAGCCGCTCTCTGCTTATGACTTCGTGTACCTTCCAATCGATTTCAAGTGAGTGACTCTGCATGTAGTGAGTCTGCATGTGCCTGTGCCTGGTTGGAGCTCGGTTACATCCTCAGGGTCTGCTGTCCGCTGTCACTATTCACAAAAACACATCAGCGATGTAGATCAAGGCTCATGCGAATGGGCACTCTTCGTCCACCCTTACCTCTAACCCCTCCATCCACCACTGCTCACCACCGCTCTGCACTGCGCAGGAACCGGTGCAACCTTGGGTACGCATTTGTCAATTTGACAACGGTGACGGGGGCACTGCGGCTGTTCCGGGCGTTCCACCTGCAGCAGTGGGAGGCCTTCAACTCGCGGAAGGTCTGCCGCGTCTCGTACGCCCGCGTCCAGGTATGGCCCATAACTAAAAGTATGACATGCTTTTTCTTCCGATATTGCATGTGGCATGTGTCCGCCCATCCATAGTTCGTGGCTTCAATGCCAAGGAAACGAGACCCCAGCCTTGTTGTTGTTACCTTCTTTTGTTCTGACCGTTGGATGCACCTCTGGCTGCTTGCTGCAGGGCCGGGCAGCGCTGGAGGAGCATTTCCGCAACTCTCGCTTCGCATGCGACACGGAGGAGTTTCTCCCGCTCGTGTTCTCCCCTCCCCGCAACGGCATTGCCTGCCCTCCCCCAGTCCTTGCTGCCGGCCACATGGCAGGCCAGCAGGTAACACTGTCTGGTAACCAGCACCTTGCCCTCACATCCGACCCTAGGTCCCCTCACCGTGATGTTTTGAACCCAGGGCTGCTGCCTGGCATGGGTTTCAGAGCACATTCCTCTGCGACTAGTTCGGTTGTGACTTCAAGGAGTAGCTCTGCCATTCCTTCTAGGAGCAGTTCTACCATCCCCTCTAGGACTAGCTCTTCTATTTCCTCTAGGGCCGGTTCTCCACACTCAACTGGGTAGTAGTGTTTCACCGGAGATGCTTGAGAGTATTAGAGTGGCCCTAAGCCTCCTATTTATAATAATGCCTGACCAAAGCCAACTCGAATGGGAGGCCAATAGAATGGTAAACGTGACAATATTTTGAAATTACAAGTGCACTTCAATGAAGGTGCACTGTACTATTTTCACAATTGACCCCATTTATCTATCTCGACCTTCAGAGATTCCAGAATGCTGGAGCAACAGCCGTTCAAAGCTGGCGGAGGGTTCCCTTCCCTTCCTGCCTGCCTAGTCCAGAAAATCACCCGGTCGGATTGGAATGGAACTCTCGCGAATGGCGGAAGACCACTCAACATCTCCCGCGTGTACATCTGAAAAGATATGTCGTGAACTTTACCGTGTCGACCGTCAATCCCCGTCGAACCGTCAGTCCGCATGGAGCCAAGCGTCAGGTTCGCGCACCAACCACTGAGAACACACGCTGGCAAAAGCGCCTTCCGAGCATATTGTATCCTCCACGTGGAACATAACTTGAGGCTCACAATTTTCAGGGTTCACGAAATTGGCCCCGAGCGTTCGTTCCAGTCAGGCAAGGAAACACACCAGAGGCCTGGGAGTACAAACCACGGATCGCGATTGCCGAGGTGGCTAATCTGACGCTGCAAACTCAAGGACAAACCTGTCTCTTGGGAGAGCCTATCAACCATCCGCTTCCCGCGTGGCCCAGACTGCACGTTTTTTTTCCGAACCACCCCTGTGAACCCAGGCGAGGAGGCAATGTCGAATCTCATTCGCTGGTTTGTTTCCGAGCCACCTGCTAACATGACAAAGGGCAGCTCCTAATGCCTGTGATATGTCTCCAGTCGCTGCTGCTTCCGCACCTTCTGCGGCTCAGATTCCTCAGTGGAATCGATGGTGTACAGTGCAGGGCACGCCTAATGTCCCATCCATCCATCCATTTCCCATCCATGCCAACCAGCATGCAGATGGGTTGGGTTTGGGGGTCATGGGACCAGGGACCACTCCCTCCACGCGTCCTCGCATCCAACCAACCATCCCTCCCTGGTGACGTCCTCCCATACCCCCCCCACCTCACCCCACCACACCCTAACTTACCTTACCCTACACCATCCGATTTCTCCCAACCTCCTTCTGTGCGGGCATCTTGATTCTTGACATTTTCCTGTCCGTCCTCCCAGGGAATAAAGCTAGGCCCAGGCACAGCGAGCTTCGTGGAGAGAGCAGTTAGAAGGCCACCCATACGCGGCCATTGCCATTGCCATTCCCACTGCCAATACCTGCGCAAGATAAAGAGCCTGGCACCGTGGCTTGATTGCTCAGTTGATTCTTTGTAGCTCCACTGTTCTTCCTTGAAACCCTTCCTTCTGCCCTTGGTAGGATCCCGTCCAAGAAATTTGATCTACTCGCTCATTGGTTCCCGTGTGGAAGTTCAATAGAGACTTAATTAGTCTACTTCGTTTTCCAAGAGCCCCCGCCATGGCTTGCCACCTTCAGAAACCGTTTGTCTTCGGGACTCACGAGTCGTGCCGATTCGTCACCCGACCTCTAGTTAATCGCGCTCTCAAATCGGCGCGTCGATCCTCCTCTCGCCAGCCATTCGCCGTCACCACTCGCAGCCAAGGTGACGCGCACTGCAACTCAACAGCCAATGAAATCGTGCCAGCAGAGCGCGCAATCCCTCTCATCCGCGCCACGTCAGCAACCCCGGCCGTGTCGGGGGCACAATGGGAGCAGCAGGCACTATTCGTGGACGGAAAGCGCAGCGCAGGTGCATCTCAGGGAGGCGTTAACTATGCGCGGGTGCGCAACCACCTGCGCGCGACCTCCGTCACCGCCGCATCCCTCCCTTCCGCGCATTGGCGGAAGCAGGTGCGGGGATTCGTCGAGGAAGACGCCGCGCAACGCGGGACCGGCGGGGACCAGAGCGACGCGGATTCGAAGCGCGCCGAGCTCGAGGCAGGATGGCAGAGCGCTTCTGAGGGACTGATGCCGCCAATGACGGCGCCAAATGCGGCGCCAGGCCCGGCGATAAGCGGTGTTCCTAGCGACGAGTTCGCGTGCACGCTCGCCGGATGCACCACCATCCACAGCAACGTCGGATCCATGCGCAGACTCGGAAACCTCTCCGAAACTTCCTTCAGAGCGGCTCCACCGCAGCCCGCCGAATTGCGACCGGTGCAGAGCGGTGTCAAGGGGTTCAACCTGGGGCAGTTCCTGTCGCAGATGCTGCCGTACGTGGTGGTGGCGACGGCCGTGTCGGCGCTGTCATACCCGGCGACGTTCTCGTGGTTCAGCAAGCGGTACTACGCGCCGGCCCTGGGCGGCATCATGCTCTCCATCGGCGTGCAGCTGTCCGTCCAAGACTTCAAAGCCGCCATCGAAAAGTAAGCAACGATTTGGCTTGATTGAGTCTTTCCAGTGTGCCCCGGTCAGGCGTCTCATGTCCCATTCTCTCGCGCATCAGCCTCATTTCTCCTCCTCTCTCCTCCCGATCTTTCCACCCACTACCCCAGGCCTATCCCCGTCCTCCTGGGTCTCCTAGTGCAGTACGCCGTCAAGCCGCTCATCGCGGCCGCCATAGCCGCCACCTTCCGCCTGCCCCCCGCCTTCGCCGCGGGCTTCCTCCTCACCGCCAGCGTGTCCGGCGCGCAGCTCTCCAGCTACGCGTCCTACCTGGCCAAGGCTGACGTGGCGCTCTGCATCGTGCTGACGAGCCTGAGCACCTTCGCCTCCGTGGCACTCACGCCCATCCTCACCTCGCTCCTGATCGGCTCCGCCGTCCCCGTGGACCTCCTCGCCATGTCAAAATCCATCCTCCAAGTCGTCATCCTCCCAGTCTCCCTCGGGCTTATCCTAAACACCTACGCGCGGAAATTCGTGGACCGGATTCGGCCCATCATGCCGCTGCTCGCCATAGTGTGCACGTCGCTCTGCATCGGCAGTCCCTTGGCCATCAACCGGTCGCAGATCATCAGCCTGAGCGGCGCCATGCTCCTCCCGCCCGTCCTCGCCTTCCACCTCGCGTCCTTCGCCGCCGGCTTCTGGACCGCGAAGCTTCCTGGAATGGGGCAGAGCGATGACGTGGCGAGGACGTTGTCGCTGTGTGGTGGCATGCAGAGCAGCACGCTGGCCATGCTGCTGGCGTCGCAGTTTCTTGGCTCCACCCACACTGTGCCCGCGTCGGTCTCTGTGGTGCTCATGTCTATTATAGGGCTCAGCCTTGGAAGCTTCTGGGGGTCCGGAAGGAAGCTTCTGGACTGGAACTTTGCTGGGGCGTTTGCTGGGCCTCAGGCGTTTGCTGCTCCTGCTGAGGCATAGACATGGCCCATGGGTTCTGCTGCCATGGTGAATGATAGCTGGTGCGACTGTGAAGGTAAGGTGTTTGGCAAGCATAGGAGAGTAGGGCTCAGCGCCTGCCAGCTAGTGGGTGGCCAGGCCATTGTTCACGCATGGGTCTGCTTGCAAGCCTTGCAGCCATGTACATATAATCGGATATAGTTCAATTCGATCTCATCTCATCTTCTACATCTGCTATGGAAAGCATGTTTGGTCACAATGCCTCCTTGAAATGCCCATAGTTCAATGTGCAACACGCATCAGCTTTAGGGCGTAATCCTGCTGTGCCCGTTGAGTACGATACCAGGGAACCTAACTTCGCGAACAGCCGTATTGAACCGCATAGGATTTCGTGTTTCAACACTCGGACCTTACTGTACCGCGTTTCAGACTCGATTTTGGGTTTGCTGATACTGAACACCTTGCTGTAGGAATACGCCCTTACTGGATGTTGGGCGACCGAGAGGACTCCGATCGAGGCAACGAAGGCACTGCATGGAGCACTTCGGCCACCGTTGGCTCACCCGTGCGCGTGTTCTGAGCCTATTCCACGCATACAGTGTCAGCCAAAGAAACACATCCCCTTCACAGCCGAGTGCATGCGAAGTCAAAGTCGTCGGGAGCGAGGCGAGTGAGCCAGTTGCTGAGGGTGCTCTTGGCGTTGAGCGTGTCGGACGCCGCCAGCTCGTACATGGAGCACAGGTTCAGCACCACTGTCTCGTCGACAGCTGTCAGCGGGCTCGCCTGCAATTGGTCCTCCAGCACCCGCACCGCCGTGGCAAGATCTCGGCCGTACATCAAGCAGAGGGCCTGCAGGGGGAGGAGGCAGGAGGGGTGTGACGGGCAAAGCTACTGTAGGTATGAGAACACTATTCAGAATTCTCAAAAAGAGAACACTGTATGTTGCACCTGCTTTCTGGAGTACCTAGCCTGGATGCTGCATCACGTAGCCCGGTTCCTGCATGCGTAGTCTGGCCTTATTATTGGCAGCAATGGGGTTTGTGGGGTGAGAACTGCTGCACCGCCATTGCAGCTGCACCACCATTGCAGCTGCACCACCATTGCAGCTGCACCACCATTGCAGCTGCAATGCCTGCCCATACTGCTTGCATGCCAAGAGACTTGTGATTCTGCTGAAACACCTGATCACCGCATCATGTAGTCTTATTACCGCATCATGTAGTCTTATTACCGCATCATGCAGTCTTATTACCACATCACCCTACCTTGTTGTTTGCAGCATTGGGGTTGGTGGGGTCCTCCTTGGTAACAGCAGTGAACAGCTGCAGCGCCTGCCCGTACTCCTTGCGAGCAAAGTGTAGTTTGAGTCGACTCAAATCACATCCCCTCACCTTGTTATTTGCAGCAATGGGGTTGGTGGGGTCCTCCTTCGTGACGGCAGTGAACAGCTGCAGCGCCTGCCCGTACTCCTTGCGAGCAAAGTGCACCAGCGCCTTGTTGAGCCGCACCAGCCGCTTCATCTCCCCCAGATTCGCCGCCGTCACCTGCCCTGTCAACCCACTCCCATCCCTTCCTACCCCTGCTCCTCCTCCTCCACCTCCTCCTCCTCCCCACCCTCCCCCTTCCCCCTCCCCCCCTCCTCCCCCACGCTCCCCCTCACTCTCCAGCTCCACCTCGCGGTGCACCACCATCTTCTCCACCAATCCGAACGCAGCGTTCGCACCCTCCACGTCCCCCAGCTGCAGCCGCACCAGCCCGTACCGTGAGAGCAGGGCGGCGTTGCTCGGCTCGTAGCGCAGCAGGCGCTGCAGCCACTGCAGGGCGGTGGGGTAGTCTCGTTGGGCTAAGTGGTGCGAGACCAGCGAGTGCCGCACCGCCTGCCGCCTGCGTGCCCAGCAGGCAACTAGCGCTTCCTGGGATGACAACGACGCTGCTGCTGCTGACGGTGTGCCCTTAGTGCTGGTGCTGGTGGTGGTGCTGGTGCTGGTGGTGGTGGTGGTGGTGGTCATTGCTGTTGCAAGCTTGGCATGAGACGACATGCCCTCGCCGTCCTCAGGTCCCATCTCATCTGCCACGCCTTGTGTTGTCACTGCGCTCTTGCTCATGCTCATTCTGCTGCTGCTGCTGCTGCTGCTGCCGCCACCTGCATGTGCTGCTCTCTCCTGTGCTTCCTGCCTGTCTGCGGCTATTCGGCCTTGCACTTCCTTCATCTGCCATCGATGGCATGGAGGGAAGGAGTAAGAGAGCTCGTCTGGCAATGATGGAGGGTCAGTCATCACAGTGCAGCGACGCAACACAGTGCATTTCGCACTCCAAGAATCACCTCAACAGTATACCTCCAGCACCCACCTTGGCAGTGCAGTATGCCTGCAGCGCGCACAGCCTCTCCACAGTGAGGGCAGCATTGCCCATGCGGTGAGGGAGCTCCGCTGCCAGCCAACGGAGAGCAAAGGGCAGCATGGATCCTGCATGGGAGATGCAGCAAGTGAGGGGCAGAGTACGGGGAAGTGTACGGGGCAAGAGAGAGACAAGCGAATGTGAGTGGCAAACAGAGGGGTTGTGAAAGGTGCTGAGGCATCACACCGTTGCCCATGCGATTAGGCAACTCTGGTGCTAGTTAGGGCAGGGTGACGGGCGGCATGAAGCCTGGAGGGGGGAGGGAAGACAAGAGAGCCGGATGGGAGGAAGAGGGATGGGAGGGAGAGGAGAGGAGGAGGGCAATCGAGACTCCGCTGCCCATGCGATGAGGCAAGTCTGCTGGTAGTTAGTGCAGGGCGACGGGTGACATGGAGGCTGGAGTTGAAGTGTAGCAAGTGTGAGGCAACGCAAGGCGCAAGAGAGATGCAAGAGAGAGAGACAAGAGAGAGACAAGAAGGGGGGCTGTGGAAGGAGCTGAGATGAGGGATCTCTGCGAAGGGCAGCATGGAGCCTATTGGAGGAGAAGGGTGTGCGAGCAAAGAAGAGAAGAGAAGAGAAGAGAAGAGAAGAGAAGAGAAGAGAAGAGAAGAGAAGAGAAGAGAAGAGAAGAGAAGAGAAGAGAAGAGAAGCGAAGAGAGGAGAAGAGAAGAGAAGAGAAGAGAAGAGAAGAGAAGAGAGGAGAAGAGAGGAGAAGAGAGGAGGAGAGAAGGGAGGAGATGAGACGAGCAGCACACGTTACATGTCCAGGTATTGGAGCGAAAACCACAAAGTCACGTTACATGGGTGCATCGTGAAACGGTTGTTCGTTTCACCCAACAGCTCGACGAGAAGAGTCAACAGTTGGAAGGTAGTTTTGAGGCGCCTCAAAACTAGTCAACAGTTGGAAGGCATGGACCAGCATAACCAAGTGAGTGATAAGCAGTCTTATAAGATGTCATGGTGTGTATGTTTCTACCCAAAAAAATGATATCTCTTTCTGTTGTGCTTCGTGTTCCATACAGACGCTGCAAGCTCAAGTTGAGAAGTTTATGCAAAACGAGCAGGAGCACGTGGCTCAAAAGCAGAACGCTGAAGAAGAAGCTGAAAAGAATGCGAAAGAAATTGCTGAGATTAAAAGTGTAGTTGCGGGATTAAAGGACGCGTTGGACCCAATCACCTCACTCTATCCTCGCTGCACGAACAGGTGGTTGAGGATGTTGTCTGCAACGAGGATAGAGTGAGTTGATTGGATGCACACTCATCCTTCAATCCAGCAATCACACTCTTAATCTCAACAATTTCCCCCGCATTCTTTTAGTTTCTTCTTCAACGTTCTGCTTTTGGATCATGTGCTCCTGCTCGTTTTGCATGAACTTCTCAACTTCAGCTTGTAGCATTTGTATGGACCACAAAGCACAACAGAAAGAACAATGTCATTCATTTGGTCGGAATAAACACACTAAAACAACTTATAAGATTGCTTAACACTCACTTAGATATGATGGACCATTGCTTCCGACTGTTGACTCTTCTCATCGAGTTGTTAAGTGAGACGGGCTACCGTTCATGATGCTCCCTCTGCAACCTTTCTTGGTTGCATGTCCGAGTGCGGAAACTCGACTCATATCGGTGTTGCGGCGAGTACAATGTGCCTTGCAAATGCCTTTGACTCACTAGGGCGCGCTCCTCCCACTAGAGCGTGCTCGCCTCATTAGGGCATGCTCGTCTCACTAGAGCGTGCTCGTCTCAATAGAGCGCGCTCGTCTCACTAGAGCGCGCTCCTTCAATAGAGCGCGCGCGTCTCACGAGAGCGCGCTCGTCTCAATAGAGCCCGCTCGTCTCACTAGAGTGCGCTCGTCTCACTCCAACGTGGTCGTCTGACTAGGCTACGCTCGTCTCACACAGTCGTCTCACCTGAGCGTGATCGTCTCACTCTAGGACGGTCATCTCACTAGGGCGCGCTGGTCTCATTAGAGCGCGCTTGTCTCACTAGAGCGAACTCGTCTCACTAGAGCACGGTCGTCTCACTAGGACGTGGTCGTCTCACTAGGGCACGGTCATCTCACTTGGGCGCGGTTGTCTCACCAAAGCGCGGTCGTCTCACCAGAACACGCTCGTCTCACCAGAGCACGCTCGTCTCACCAGAGCACGCTCGTCTCACTAGAGCAAGCTCGTCTCCCTAGGGCACGCTCGTCTCACTAGAGCAAGCTCGTCTCCCTAGGGCACGCTCGTCTCACTAGAGCAAGCTCGTCTCCCTAGGGCACGCTCGTCTCACTAGAGCAAGCTCGTCTCCCTAGGGCACGCTCGTCTCACTAGAGCAAGCTCGTCTCCCTAGGGCACGCTCGTCTCACTAGAGCAAGCTCGTCTCCCTAGGGCACGCTCGTCTCACTAGAGCAAGCTCGTCTCCCTAGGGCACGCTCGTCTCACTAGAGCAAGCTCGTCTCCCTAGGGCACGCTCGTCTCACTAGGGCGTGCTCGTCTCACTAGCGCGCGCTCGTCTCACTAGCGCGCGCTCGTCTCACTAGGGCACGCTCGTCTTACTAGGGTGTGCTCGTCTCACTAGAGTGCCCTCGCCTAGCCATGTATGTGTTGCGTGAATCGACCAACACTTGAGCTACTAGCGCTCACCTTTCCTGCCAGGGTACATGCCCGGGTGCGCCTCGTATCGGTACTGCGGCGAGTCGAGATTTCCCAATAGGGTGAGCTCCTCTGCAGCCGCGCCGTACATCCGCAGCTTCATCAGCGCGAGCACGTGGTAACCGCGTAACGCCAGCTGCTGTGCCAGCCCCGCCAGCTTGTACCCCTCCACCACCTTGTCCACTATGGCGCGCCACGAGCCCTGGCGCTGAGGGGTGTACGAGACGGAGAAGAAAGCAGCAAGGGGGCGGGGCAGCGTGAACCTTCACTACCGGGGCTCGGGCAAGGGAGGGTCAGTATGAGCCTTCACAGCCAGGCTGTACCCCTCCATCACGGTACCACCTTGTCCACTATGGCTCGCCACGAGCCCTGGCGCTGGGGGGATGGATGGAAGGCAGGGATGAAGGAGAAGAATGAACGCAGAGACCAGGTTGAGCATGGGTGGGAGAGCGGCACGCAGAGAGTGCGGGTCAGAGCACGACAAGAGTGAGAGATTCGACCCTTCACCTGACACGCCGCCAATGCAGCTTCGGGCGAGTATGGCGTACAGCGAGTACGGCTTACAGCGAGTATGGCGTACAGCGAGTATGGCTTACAGCGAGTATGGCTTACAGCGAGTACGGGTTACAGCGAGTATGGCTTACAGCGAGTACGGCGAGGCCGTCGAGGGAGGTCTTGACGTCAAGGCTGGACATGCGGCGGAAGGCGACAGGCGGGGACGAGCGAGATGCAAATGCGCTGCTGCCGCTGCTGCTTGTGCTGATAGCAGTGGTTGTAGTGGTGGTGCTGCTGGTGGTGCTAATGCTAGTGGTGGTGGCAGTGGTGGCAGTGGTGGTGGTGCCGCTGCTAGTAGCCGAAGGTGCTCCTGTGCCCGCCATTAACGCCCCTCCCCTGCAGTCACACCAGCTGGAGAGGTGACCCTCCCCCTGCACCCCTCCCCCCCCCTGCTGCTGCCCCTGCTGCCCCCCCTGGCGCCCCCCCTGCTGCCCCACTGCTTGCCCCCCTGCAGGCTTGGCAACGCCGGGGGGGCCTTGGGGCGGGGCTCTGTACCCGGGAGGGGGGTGAGTGGGGCGCGATAGTGGGTGTGAAGGGTGGGCGAGGGGGGGGGTGTGAGAGAGGGGGGTGTGAGAGAGGGGGGTGTGCGAGAGGGTGTGAGAGAGGGTGGGGGAGTGATGGAGGAGGGTGGGACGGAGGGGGTGGGAGGGTAGTGAGCGGGACGGGGGAGAGTGCGGTGGAGGGGGCTGAGATGGGGGTTGTGAGTGTGGGGGGTGTGACAGTGGGGGGTGTGACAGTGGGGGGTGTGACAGTGGGTGGGACACAGGAGGCGGGGAAGAAAGCGGACCCCTTATTGGCGCTGGCGCTGGCGCGCGCAAGGGGGATGGAAGCTACCGGTGGGAGGCGGAGGGGTGGGTGATTTTCTCTGATGTGACTCAAACGCGTGGGGTGCGGACGCGTGGGGCGCGGAGGGGCGGAGGGGGGAGGAGTGAGAATACGACATCATGTGCGCGGAGAAGCCGCTCGGATGGTGTGCGCCTTGTCGCTGACTCGAGTCGTGCTTATAATGAGGATCGGATTCGTGCTTATAATGAGGATCAGATGCATGGCGCGGATCGGATTTCGTTGGAATTCCGGGCTGATGCGGCCCTCCTTCAGTCATAGGCGACGAGTGGTAACCAGCTTGAACGCCTGGTAACCTCGATTGATCAAACCCTAATCCGCCTCCCCCAGGTGTAGCTACTGGTGCCGCTACAGCTGCGCTTGCTGTGATTCCCGTGCCCGCGGCAGCAGCGGCAGCAGCGGAAGCAGGCGGAGCGGAAAGCGGAGGAGGGGGAGGCGCATGGTCTGTTCCGCCCCCCGCGCCTCCGCCGTGCACTTGCGCTCCCGCGTTCCCCCCCGAATCCTGCTCCCCCTCACCCCCCAACGCCTGCAAGTCTCCGCTTCCCCCCAGCGCCTGCACCTCCCCCCAGAAGTCCATCCCCGCATCCGCGCCCGCCTGGTTTTCCGCCTCCCCCCAGAACGAGTTGCTATCTTGCGCGGACTTCCCGCTTGGCACCAATCCCGGATCCGCCGACGTTGTTTTCGTCCCCGTCTGACTCGCCGTCGATGCCGGATCTAACGGCTCTGCGGCATCCGTCGCCTGCGCCGGCGGTGCCGCCGCAGATGACGACGCGTGCTGCGCTGATACGAAGCCGCTGGCTCCGCCCGCTTGGAAATCCCCCCAGTCGCCCTCCATCTGTGGAGGCAGATTCCGAGGACACTATATCTATCGAGTATGTAATAACACGATAGGAGACTCGTCAGTGTGACAATGTTTCTGCTACGATGAGACTCGGCTGAAAAAAGAGAGTGATGATGGGGGAAGGTCAATTGCCTGGAATGATGTTGTCGAGATCCTCTTTACAGGTGCCGTTCGACAAAACCAAATGTGGGTTTGTAACAAAACCGTGACCATTGTTGTAAGGAATTTTATTCCTTACCGGGTTGTACTGCAATCGCGTACACCCGAACTCTCGGCAGACCAGGCTCGGTCCGTTTCTGACGCAGCCCCGAGGCACGCCCGCGCCGCCTCCGACCCTTTCGACCGCGCCTGTACCCAACCTAGCCCTCCGGGCTCGTCGCCTAGCTAGAGCACTCGCTATATAATGCTAGGCTATCCTTCTTGTACTCGTCATTATTATTCCGCGCACTCTGAGTTATTATTCATAACATCTGGTATCAGAGCTACTTTCCTGGTTCACCCCGCTTTCTCAGGGTAGTTTATTTCCAAGGCGTGGTTAACCCTGCGGGGCTGCAAAGCGGTTGTCCGTGAGCTAGAGTTATTAGCTCACACAACTACGATAGCGTTTGCGCCCCCTACGGTTTCTTACCACGGCCTTCCCCCTGCCCGAAAGGCGTAGCATTCGCATCATGTCCCAGGCCCAGCTAGACGAGGTCATGGCTCAGATGCAGGCAATGCAAGCCCAGATGGCGAGTTTGAACAGTGAAGTCGTGAGACTTCGGACGGAGAACACCGAGCTTCGCCAGACGCGTGGTGAAGCGCGTCAGGAGTCGCCTGGAGTCGCCGAAGACGAGGTCAAGCAAAGTGCCGACGACGCAGCGAGCGAAACCGTCCTTGACGAGCTCGCACGGGAGTTGGAGCAGGACGACGTGCGTACTGTGACCGTAACGAAGATTAAACTCAAGCCAGCAACACCGCCCCCGTTCAACCCTTCGGACAAGGCGACGACGGTGCAAGGGTGGCTGTTCAGCATGGAGCTGTTCTTCACGGCGGCAAGTGTGCACACCGATGATGCGCGCATTAATTATACCGTATCGCTGCTCCGAGGACCGGCGTTGGATTGGTGGCGACGACAGTTGGCGATTGGGACTCCGGCAGGAGTGAAGCAGGCGAAGGACGGGACTTCGGACTCTTCAAACCAACAGGCAGAAACAATATTCGGTACGACCACGATTCGCACGTGGAAACAGTGGGGCACAGCTCTGCGAGCTCGTTTTGAGCATTCATCCGCCTCAGACGACGCTCGTATGAAGCTGCGCAACTGGCGGCAGGTGACTACTGTTCAAGATTACACTGCGTCGTTCTCGGCACTTGCGGACCAAGTCGACGACCTCAGCGAAGCGGAAAGACGGGACAAATACGTTAGCGGGCTGCATTTCGATATTCAATACGAGTTGCAGCGGTCCCGTCCCAAGACGTTCGATGAAGCCGTCCAGCTGGCGTCAGCAGCCGATGCATTGCAGCAGTGGGCGAGAAAGAACAACATGGATGTTGGTCGTTTTCGTGGACAGTCTCCCCGCCCCACGATCAATGGCGTGTCAGCGCCCGATGAAATATTTCACGGGCTATGTTTTCGATGTGACAAGCCAGGTCACCGAGCTAAGTACTGCCCGACAGCGCCAAAGAAGACGAAGAACGACAAGGAGAAGCCGGGAAATGGGAAAAGTCAGTAGCAGACGGGCCCCCTACTGACGAGGCTTTGTCGCCCGAACTTCAGCGTTCCCACCAAGTTGTGGTACCGATACACGCTATCGACCGCACTCGGACGAATAACGGGAGCGAACCTGAAGATCACCCTGTGCTGGTAGAAGGCAAGGTTAACGGCAAAAAAATAAAGTTATTTGTGGATCGCGGAGCTAGTCACAGTCTCATACACGTGACAACAGCGAAGCAGTTGAAGCTGACGTTGGAAAAATGTCTTCCCGAAATCGACGCGCGACTGGTGGACGGAACTCCACTTGCAATTAGAGAACGAGCGCGCATGGTGCGGATGAAGTGTGGCGACGACTTCGGATTCAGCATGCCCATGCTGGCCACGACGCTGGACGGCTGCGACATTCTGCTTGGGCGTGATTGGCTGCGAAAATACAATCCGAGGATCGACTGGACAACTGGCGAATGCAGCGTACACTGTGCGAACGGGTGGCGCGTACTTCCGAGCTGGCGTGGGAGAGATCCGGTGTCGACACGTGTCAACGCCATCACCTTCCAGCGAGCGGTTAAAAAAGGAGCTGACTTGTACGCCGTCCACCTGGCCGACGCGACGGTCGACGACACGCCAAAGGACATTGACACACTTTGTGCCAGTGTCCCTGCCGAGCTCGCCGCGCTGATTCGACAGTACTCGGATATTTTTCCGGACGATCTGCCAGCAGGATTGCCACCCGAGCGCCCCCAGGACCACAAAATTGACCTGGAACCCGGCGCGCAGCCTACAGTCAGGACCCAGTGGCGGCTGACTCAGCCGGAGCTCACGGAGTTGCGCAGCCAACTGGACTACCTCTTGGAGAAGGGGTTCATTCGGCCCAGCACCTCCCCGTTCGCAGCACCCATCCTGTTCACGCCCAAAAAAGACGGCGGGCTGCGAATGTGCATCGACTACAGGGCGCTAAATCGACGAACAATCAAGTCCCGCTACCCAATCCCACGCGCGGACGATCTTCTCTATCAACTTCGCGGAGCTCGCTTCTTCTCGAAAATCGACTTACGCGGTGGTTACCATCAGATCCGAGTCTTCGCTGACGACTGCCACAAGACGGCGTTCCGAACCCGCTATGGCAGCTACGAGTACACAGTGATGCCGTTTGGCCTCACGAACGCGCCCTCCACTTTCCAACTCACCATGAACGGCGTATTCCGAGACCTGCTCGACAAGTGTGTCATCGTCTATCTTGATGACATTCTGATCTACAGCAAGACACAGGAACAGCACCTCAAGGACCTTGAGCAAGTTTTCCGGCGGCTGCAAGAAAACCGCTCATCACGAAGGGCTCCAAGTGCGAGTTCCTAAAATCCGAACTGGAATTTTTGGGACATGTCGTGGGAGCGGACGGCATAAAAATCGACCCGCAAAAAATCACAGCGATTCGCGACTGGAAGCCGCCGACGAATTTACAGGAGTTGCAGAGTTTTCTCGGGTTCGTTAATTATGTCCGCGGTTTATCCCCAATATGGCAGGGATAACCGGACTGTTAACTGACCTGCTGCGGAAGGGCACTTTGTTTGAATGGGGGGAGAGACAGCAGACTGCTTTCGATGAACTGCGAAATTCGCTGACGTCGCCCCCGGTCCTCCGAATCGCCGACCCATCTCGACCATTCGAAGTCTTGACGGACGCTAGCGATTTCGCCATCGGTGCGATACTGTTACAAGATTTCGGCGACGGACTCCAACCCATCGCGTATGAGTCTCGGAAGTTGCAGGCAGCCGAGCGCAACTACCCCGTCCACGACAAAGAAATGCTCGCCATCGTGCACGCATTCAAGGTGTGGCGATGCTACTTGACGGGAGCCGACGTGACAGTACGGACAGACCATAAATCCCTACAGTACCTCCGCGCGCAGCCGAATCTAAATCCACGGCAGATTCGCTGGCTGGACTTCCTCGAAAGCAACTTCCACTACACCATCACGTACAAACGGGAGCGAATAACATCGCTGACGCGCTAACAAGACCATCCGCCACCTCGCCTCAATCATCGTCGCAAAATCCAACCCGCTGCTCACTGGCCTATTTACCCACGGCTATACCACAGACCTCTTTTTCACTTGCAACCACCACCAACAAGCCACCACAGCCAAAGGACCCTACTTTCTAAAAGCCGGTACTGACCGCATCTGGGTTCCCGCCTACAAACTCCTCCGCGAATTACTTATTCAAGAAGTCCACGATTCTAACCTCTCCGGTCATTTTGGGGTTGATAAAACCCAGAAGTTACTTCACCGTTTTTATTATTGGCCTGATTCGGCGCCTGATGTGCAGAGATACGTATCCGCGTGCCCGATCTGCCAACGAATGAAGTCTTCCCGACGGCGGCCAGCTGGACTGCTGCAACCGCTCGAGCCACCCCAGCGACCATGGCAACATGTGACGATGGACTTTGTCACGGGGCTCCCAGCCGCCGCCACGAGCAACGACGCCGTCCTGGTCGTCGTCGATCGTCTGACGAAGATGGCACACTTCGCACCCTGTCGCACAACAATCACAGCCGAAGATACAGCGAAGCTTTTCATCTCCACCGTTGTTCGCCTGCACGGCATACCCTCAGCGATCATCAGCGACCGCGACCCAAAATTTACGTCCAAGTTCTGGCATGAGACATGGGGGCAATACGGCACACGCCTCCAGTTTTCCTCCGCCTACCATCCTCAAACCGACGGACAGACAGAGCGAACCAATCAAATTATGGAGCAGCTGATACGCACCAACTGCCCGGATCCTGCCCGGTGGGAAGAATTCCTGCCCATGCTGGAATTTTCGTACAACAATGCCCCATCCGCCACGACTAATCACTCGTCGTTTTTTCTAAACTACGGCATGGATCCGACAGTCCCGACGACTACCAACATCGACAACCCAGTGCCACGTTCCCAGCAGTTCGTGAACAGTTTGCAGGCGGCCCGCGAAAAAGCGATCGAATTCATTCGCAAGTCCAACACAACCGCCCGCCGCTACACAGATCTTCATCGCCGCGATATCACCATGGCTGCAGGGCAACTAGTCCTTCTCGACACAAAGAACCTTAGCCTGCCCCTGCCTTCAAAACTTCGCCCGCGATTCTGTGCACCTTTTCGTATTGTCAAGATGGTGACACCTGTCACAGCGAAATTATTACTTCCGGACGAGTGGCGCATTCACGACACCTTCCACGTCAGCCTGCTTCGTCCCTACGTCGCCAGCACGTCTGCAGTCGCACGCCCAGCGGCCGCCCCAAGTGTCCGCCCGATGGCTGAACCGACACTTGAGCCTTTCCGGCTTTTGAGTCATCGCGTCCGCCTCGACTCCACTGGTCGCCACGTGGATTTTCTTGTCCGCTGGGTTGACCGTACAAGCGAAGACGACACCTGGGTCCCTTCCGACTCGCTTCAAGAACACTCGGTGCTCAAATCTTATTTGACCCGAAAAGGCGTTCCCGATGTTGATCACCTTCCTTAGGGGGGGGGTAGTGTAAGGAATTTTATTCCTTACCGGGTTGTACTGCAATCGCGTACACCTGAACTCTCGGCAGACCAGGCTCGGTCCGTTTCTGACGCGGCCCCGAGGCACGCCCGCGCCGCCTCCGACCCTTTCGACCGCGCCTGTACCCAACCTAGCCCTCCGGGCTCGTCGGCTAGCTAGAGCACTCGCTATATAATGCTAGGCTATCCTTCTTGTACTCGTCATTATTATTCCGCGCACTCTGAGTTATTATTCATAACAATTGTCACTTTACAGAAACATTGTCACATGACGAGTCTCCTATCGTCACTTACATAAACATTGTGACAATGTTTATTGTCACTTACAGAAACATTGTCAGTGTGACAATGTTTCTTGTATGCGAAGGCATTTACCTTCCCTACAACCAATTTCGCCGAAATAAAATGCCTTCGCATACAAGCAATATAGCGGATATATTGCTGCAGGCTGTCGTGGAACCCAGCCAACCCCGGCTACTTCTCCCTCCCCCACAAACGGATACAGTATTCAAAGCTATTTAAACATGCAAACAAATTCTTACTCCAAAAATACAAATGCTGCTGCTTCTAGGGGGAAATTTTCTCACTGCACTGATAGCATCCTGTCCCTTGTTGACCATTCCGCCAGAACCGCTACCTTATAACGGATCCCACATCCGCGCAACCTATCAAGTTCGAGAATGGCTTCCGCCATCGCGTCCGCGGCTTCTGCCACTGCTCCCTCCGCGGACTTGACGCGCGCGCATTTGCGCGCAACTGGTGCCGCGCACGAGCGGTCCCCGCGGGTTAGCTCTCTCGGAAGCATCGAATTTGGTCGTTCCGGCGACTTTCAACGCGGGTAGCGGTAGCAGGAAGAACTTAAGTCGCAGCAGCAGCGGCCTCAGCGCGCGTCGGCAGAGACACTCGCAGCGGCGATGCGTGGCAGCGGCAGCAGCAGCGGACTCGACAGGCGTGGAGTGGGACGATCAGGGGCCGTCCGATGTGAATCCGACGGACCTGAGTGAGAGTGAAGAGGAGCGGGGGAGGGAGGGGGGGTGGAGGGGAGGGAGGAGCGAGGAGGAGAAGGCTCAGAGCGACAGCCGACAGAAGATATTCAATAACATTGCTCCGATGTATGATAATGTGAGTGCCATTCTGAATAATTTCTTACATTTCCATGTTACTGGGGAGCTCCGGGAAGCAAGCTGCGCTTTTTCATCCCTATTTTTCTCTCTCCTCCTTCGCCATCCGCACATTCTTCCCCACCTCCACCTCCTCCATTCCCCCTTCCCCTCTCAACCCCCCCCCCTCCCCCGCCTTCCCCCTGTTCTCCTCTGTGCGCTTTCCCCCTCCTGCCCTCTCTTCCTCCCAACCAACCCGCCCTTTCCCCTGCATGCCACGTGCAGCTCAACGATTGGCTGAGTCTGGGGCAGCACCGTGTGTGGAAGCGAATGACAGTTGGTTGGAGCAGGTGGGGTTTGGGGGGGGGGGGGGAGGGGGAAGAGGATGAGCCATGGCCATGGGTGTGGTTCGCCTAGATGAGCATTCCTGATGGGCTCCGGCCTGTGTTGCCATTGCTTGCGAGTAGCATTTTTCCTCCTCCTCAACCCCGTCCTACTCCCCTACCCCTCCCACCGCCAGAGTGCGCCCTGGGGACACTGCTCTGGACCCATTACACACGCCCCGGGGACACTGCTCTGGACCCATTACACACGCCCCGGGGACACTGCTCTGCACGACTGCTGCGGCAGCGCCGACCCCGCTTCTGCCTCCAATCCCTGTCGGCTGCTTCCCTCCTCCCCCTCTTATCCCCCCCCCCCCCCCCTCCCTCCCCCGAGCGCGTCCCGGGGACACTGCTCTGGACGTCTGCTGCGGCAGCGGCGACCTCTCCTTTCTGCTGGCACAGAAGGTGGGCCCCACTGGCCGGGTCACTTGGCTGGACTGCCCACTGCAACACTTCCCTCCTCCCCCGCTCCATCCCTCCCAGAGCCTCTCTCGGTGACACCCCACTGGGTATCTGCTGCAGCACGGCGACCTCTGCCCCTTGCTCACTCCTTACTACTTCCCCCTCCCCTCCGCCCCATCCCTTCAGGGCCCGTCCAGGCGATAGCGTTCTAGACATCTGCTGTGGCAGCGGCGACCTCTCCTTCCTGCTTGCAGAGAAGGTGGGCCCCACCGGGCGGGTCACCGGGCTGGACTTCGCCGCCCAGCAGCTCGTAGTCGCCGCCCAGAAGCAGCAAGAGAGCTACTCGGCGCGCAGGGTGGACATGAGGTGAGGGGGAGGGAGAGGAAGGGAGGTGAGCCACTCAGTACCAAGGTGGGGTGGTGTTTGAGTCGACTCCAGAATCATCTACTCCGCGCGCAGGGTGGACATGAGGTGAGGGGAAGCAGAGGGAGAGCTGTATGTAAGGCTCGTTGGGGAGACATGAGGTGAGGGAAAGAGAGGAGTGAGGGCTATCCCACAGCAGCTCACCCATTCACCCATTCACCCACTCACCTACTCACCCATTCGCCCACTGACCCATTCACCCATTCACCCACTCACCCATTCACCCACTGACCCCCTCCCCCGCTCACCAGGTGGATCGAGGGCGACGCTCTTGACCTGCCCTTCCCCGCCGCTACCTTCGACGCCGTCACCATGGGTTATGGGCTCAGGAACGTCACCAGCATTCGGCGCGCGCTGGAGGAGATTCGGCGCGTGCTCAAGGATGGTGAGTGAGCGAGTGGGATGGCAGGGTTGAGCGCTGAGGCCTGGAAGTGCGTCCCCAAGAGCGCTGGAGGAGGTTTGGCGAGTGTTGGGAGATTCGGTGGGTGGGAGGGAGGGAGGGACACGCTGCGGTGCTTGGATGCCGTGGAGTGCGTCCAGTATGGTGCCATCCAAGCTCCATATTCTTGTGAAGACTGACCAAACCGAATGCTGTATTCAGGCAATCTTAAGGTGAGGTACAGGGGACAAAATTCTCTGCACGCTCCTCCCTTCACCAATTTTCTTCCTACGAGTGCGTCTGCCCACCTGCAGGTAGCTCCGCAGCCATTCTGGACTTCAACCACACGGAGGACCCTCTTGTGGCTGCATTCCAGGAGTTTGCCCTGCAGGGGGCGGTGGTGCCAGTGGCTCGTCTGTTCGGCCTCTCAGAGGAGTACGAGTACCTGCTTCCCTCCATCCGCCGCTTCCCCACAGGTGAGCCTGCCCCACAGATAACACCTCCCCCTCAGGTAATACGTGTCAGAGGCATACGAGTACCCGCTTCCCCACAGGTGAGCCTGCTTGCTGCAAACGCTCTCACAAGTGACAGATAACACCTCCCTCCAGGTAGTACCTCTCAGAGGATTACGAGTACCTGCTGTCCTCCATCGGACGCTTCCCCACAGGTGAGCCTGTTGCACAGATAACACCTGCCCCACACATTCTGGTAAGTCACTGTCAACGCATCCCCTTCGTGCAGTAGCATTTCCCAGAGGAGTATGAGCACCTGCTACCTTACATACCCATTTCCGGTGCTGTGCTGGGCATGTCTACATTCATTCTCATGCGCTTCTTCTCATGCCATGTGTTGCTCCCATGCCATGTGCTGCTCCCATGCCTGCACATGTGTGTGGCAGGGCGGCAGCAGGAGCAGCTGGGAAGGGATGCTGGCTTCTCCAAGGCAGTGCATTATGAGATCGGAGGGGGGCTCATGGGCGTGCTTGTGCTGCAGAAATGATTGGTTTAGATACCAAGGGGCAAGTCCAGCAGAGGGCTACGATGTACAAGAGATTATGTTTATGACCAACGTGTACACGAGAGAAATCACTACTGTGGCGTGACCCATCCCTTTATTGTGTCATCGCACTGCATGCGGCTACAATCACACTGCACACTCCACCATTGGCTGTCCATACAACCCCCTAGCTGAATCCCCACACGGGCACTGGTGGTGCCTCTTATTCGCCATGCGACCAGCCCTGCGACTCTCTGCGAAAGCAGCTAGCAGGAGGTTCACACACGGCCAGGGGATGATTCGGGGGAGGATGAGGAGCGGATGGAGTGAGCTGAGAGTGTGCTGCTGCGCCGCTTATTGTGTGCGCGATGTGCTGGGAGGGTGACTCCGTCCAGGGTGACTCCGTCCAAGGTAATTTGCGATTATATCCCTTCGCAGGGCCGTACGTGTGTCGCCTGTCTCCTTTCGCCGCGCTTTATTGCTCTTCGAGTCATGGTGGGGGCTGGGGCTGACCCACAGCGGATCCTCGATACAGGAGGTCTCGCTGTAAGGCAGAAGCCCGGCGCTGATTGGTCGACTCGAAGAAGGGGGGGGAGCAGAGACCATTCTCTTCCTGCTCCCAGCGCTGCTTGTAGACAGGTGGCGCGCTGACATTGGAGGATGCTGCCGAATCGCCGGGATTCGGCGCGGCAGCTTCTCTTGTATTGCCGGCGCCCACGCTTATTCGAATTGGACGGCCCTTGGAGTTGGGCGCGCACCGTGACAGCGACGGTGCGGGGCATTCGCACTTTATTCGCGAATGAGTTATTCGCTCCATTTGGGATGGTGGCGGAGGCAACGCGCGGTCGCGTTGAGGTGTTCCGCGACAGGTCCAGTTTCAGAACGCCGAACGCCAGTGCAGTCGCGCTTATGCGCACCATTGACACGGTGGCGGCCAGGAAGCAGCGCGGTCGCGTATGAGTAGCAATGACCCATCCGTCGAGCGCGGGCGATCGCCAGCCGTGGAACGCGGAGTGTGCAACCACATGTGCGATCCGCTTCTTTGTAGCGCCACGTGTTGCCTCGGACCGGCTTCTGCCTCTGCCATGTCTGTTCTGCCCCCCCGTGCTGACTCTTGAGTCGACTCAAAAGTCACCTCTCTGATCTGCCTCCCGTTCTCGAACGCGCTGAATGCTGGTTTGCTGGTTTCGCTTTGCTGAAGCAGTGCGCCGAGAATAAAGTTCTGTGAATCCATGGCGGAATAATAAAGGGCAGACCCGCCTAGGTCACAGCAGCCGCGAGTACGAGCCAGTCGCTTCGCTCCAGCGACGAGCCTCGCCAGGGATGCAGCATTCTCGCCGCACACAATGGACTGGAGAGGAGAGTCAAACACGCTTCTTGGAAGCTCACGAATTCTCGTCCAGGGTGCTTCGACTGCAATGACATGCCTCCCGGAAATCAACAAAACCTATTTATCCCTTCACATTCAGACCTCTTTTGCGCCCCTCTTGGGGCAGTGAGCATGTGGGGAGGGGCATATGGTTGCCTGCCTGGCTGGGTGTGTGGTGTGGAGTCAAATGAGCTGGTTGGGCAACGATGCGATGATCTGGGCCGTCCGAGAGTGAGAGTGAGGGTGCAGCAGGTCACACTGGAGGGGTGGGTGAGGTAGGCGACTCGAGGAGGTTTCACATGCGACGCGGCATGTGTGGGTTGCGCCAGGAGTCTCCTTGCGCCAATCTGGCATTCCAGAGGTCAGGTGTGGGGGGGTTGCTCCAAATCAGCTGGAGGTTGCACCAGAGGGCATTTGTAAGGAATTTTATTCCTTACTCGGTTGTACTGCAATCGCGTAAACCCTAAATCTCGGAAGACCAGGCTCGGTCTGTCTCCTACGGGACCCGAGGCGAGCCCGCGCCGCCTCTGAACCTTTCGACCGCACCTTTACCCAACCAACCCCTCCGGACTCGTCGCCTAGCTAGAGTCCTCGCTATATAATGCTAGGCTAGCATTCTTGTACTCGTCATTATTATTCCGCGCACTCTGAGTTATTATTCATAACATCTGGTATCAGAACCACTTTCCTGGTTCACCCCGCTTTCTCGGGGTAGTTTATTTCTAAGGTGTGGTTAACCCTGCGGGGCTGCAAAGCGGTTGTCCGTGAGCTAGAGTTATTAGCTCACACAACTACGATAGTGTTTGCGCCCCCTGCGGTTTCTTACCACGGCCTTCCCCCTGCCCGAAAGGCGTAGCATCCGCATCATGTCTCAGGCCCGGCTAGACGAGGTCGTGGCTCAGATGCAGGCAATGCAAGCCCAGATGGCGAGTTTGAACATTGAAGTTGTGAGACTTCGGACGGAGAACAACGAGCTTCGCCAGACGCGTGGTGAAGCGTGTCAGGAGTCGCCTGGAGTCGCAGAGGACAATGTCAAGTTAGAAGCCGACGACGCAGCGAGCGAGACAGTCCTTGACGAGCTCACACGGGAGTTGGAGCAGGACGACGTGCGCACGGTGACCGTGACGAAGATTAAACTCAAGCCAGCCACACCGCCCCCGTTCAACCCCTCGGATAAGGCGACGACGGTGCAAGGGTGGTTGTTCAGCATGGAGTTGTTCTTCACGGCGGCAAGTGTGCATACAGACAACACGCGTATAAATTATGCCGTGTCGCTGCTCCGAGGACCGGCGTTGGATTGGTGGCGACGATAGTTGGCGATCGGGACTTCGGCAGGAGTGAAGCAAGCGAAGGACGGGACTTCGGATTCTTCAAACCAACAGGCATAAACGATATTCGGGACGACCACGATTCGCACGTGGAAACAGTGGGGCATAGCTCTACGAGCACTCATCCGCCTCAGACGACGCTCGCATGAAGCTGCGCAACTGGCGGCAAGATAACTACTGTTCAAGATTAGACACGCGTCGTTCTCCGGCACTTGGGGACCAAGTGGACGACCTCAGCGAAGCGGAAAGGCGGGACAAATACATCAGCGGGCCTGCATTTCGAGATTCAGTGCGAGTTGCAGCGGTCCAGTCTCAAGACGTTCGATGATGCTGTCCAGCTGGCGTCAGCAACCGATGCACTGCAGCAGTGAGCGAGAAAGAACAACAGTCTTCCCCGCCCCACGATCAAATGGCGTGTCAGCGCCCGATGAAACATTTCACGGGCTATGCTATCGATGTGACAAGCCAGGTCACCGAGCTAAGTATTGCCGACGGCGCCCAAGAAGACGAAGAACGACAAGGAGAAGCCGGGAAATGGGGAAAGTCAGTAGCAGACGGGCCCCGTAATGACGAGGCTTTGTCGCCCGAACTTCAACGCTACCACCAAGTGGTGGTACCGATACATGCTATCGACCACACTCGGATGAATAACGGGGGCGAACCTGAAGATCACCCTGTACTGGTCGAAGGCAAGCTGAACGGCAAAAAAATAAAGTTATTTGCGGATGGCGGGGCTAGTCACAGTCTCATCCACGTGACAACAGCGAAGCAGTTGAAGCTGACGTCGGAGAGATGTCTATCCGAAAATCGACGCGCGACCGGTGGACGGAACCCCACTTGCAATACGGGAATGAGCGCGCATGGTGCGGATGAAGTGTGGCGACGATTTCGGATTCAGCATGCCCATGCTAGCGACGACGCTGGACGTCTGCGATATTCCTCTCGGACGTGATTGGCTGCAAAAATACAACCAACGGATCGATTGGACAACTGGCGAATGCAGCGTGCACTGTGCGAATGGTTGGCGCGTACTTCCGTGCTCGCATGGGAAAGATCCGGTGTCGACACGTGTCAACACCGTCACCCTCCAGCGGACAGTTAAACGGGAGCTGATTTGTACACCATCCATCTGGCCAAAGCGACGGTCGAGGACACCCAAAAGACATTGACACACTTTGTGCTAGCGTCCCTGCCGAGCTCTCTGTGCTGATTCGACAGTACCCATATATTTTTCCGGATGATCTGCAGCGGGATTGCCACCCGAGCGCCCCCAGGACCACAAAATCGATCTGGAACCCGGCGCGCAGCCAACCGTCAGAACCCAGT